GGGTATCCATCGTCAAGTACATCCGTGCAAACAAGCTACAAAGAAGTGTGTGTTCGTCCTTGAAGATGTCATTTTTCGAAAGAAAAAGAATATGTTTGACCCCGACGTGATTCGAACACGCAACCTTCTGATCTGGAGTCAGACGCGCTACCGTTGCGCCACGGAGTCGGTGACTTAATATCTCTAGAAACATAGCGTGAGCATTCATTTCTCTGCAAAACCTTGATGGAAATTAATTTTTGAAAATAGCCGTTAGTCAGACAGCGTCCAAGTTAACAAAACCTGGCATTTAATGTGTTATGCATAGGCTCTTGAAAGCTCATTTTTCCTAGAAGACGTGGAGCTCGGCATGTGAGAAAAATGGAGTGATGAGGGTTTGTTGTTGTCAGAAACAATATTTTTAGTTTGGTTTGGCTCTTTGTTGCTTAAAACGTATATTTCGAAGAAAAACAAAACATTTTTGCAAAATACTGTGAACGGTAGGCTTTCTGACTCTTGAAAATCTGACGAAACCTCTTGGGAACTGTTAAATCTATATTTAAAAAATGTGAATAGAATAAATGATGACAAAGAAATGGACGACGATAAGAAGACGATATACGAATGTGACACGACGACTAGAAAACTAACTGTGAACTCTCCTATAATGTATGTTTGCCTCAATTGATTTTAGCGGGGTTCATCACTCTCACCGTCTACGGGACTAAAAATGATCATGATTGGCATACAAGATCAAAGTAAACAACAAGAATCTCAGCAATTAATGATCGATGACAACTGGTTTTCCACCGTCCATTTTGATCGCTTATTTTTTTCGACAAGTCGTCCACGACCTCGAGCACCACCGATGGTGAACCGTCCTTATATAGTGCTTATGGGAATTGTATAATTTAGTTATGGGAGCCGTGGAATAACTGTTTGTGATCAGTGACTGGATGGGCTGTTTTACTGACTCCTTTGCTAACTAGTTGATTAGTTAGCCCATTATCTTGTGAATTAGCATTATAGGTTCAAATGTTTTTTAACCGTTCTTTCACAATTTTCTTTCACAATTTTGAATCCTAGGCTCAGAATCGGCGGAAGTAAGTGTTTCTTCCGAGGAGTTTTGGCAGAGGTCGCTTATGATCATCGGTAGCACGACAAAATCGGGCTAGATT